CTCTCTCTCTCTCTCTCTCTCTCTCTCTCTCTCTCTCTCTCTCTCTCTCTCTCTCTGTGTGTGTGTGTGTGTGTGTGTGTGTGTGTGTGTCCGTCCGTGTCCTCTCTCTTTCATTTTAACAGTTCTCTTGCTGGTTAAACTATTCTACAGTTAATGGCTTAAAATAATTGTTCTATTTGCTCCCAGGTTTGTGAGTCAGCAATTTGAGCCCATCAGTTCTTGTGCTGGTCTCACCTAGGGCTCTCCCATGGTTCCTGACAGCTGGCAGCTTAGGTAGAGCAGGGTGACCTGTGGTGACCTGATTCAAAACTGTCTGTCTGGTAATGCCAGTTGCCATCTGGGCCATGAGTCCTTTGTAGAAGCCCAGCTTCATCTAGCCATAGTGTGCTTCCAAGACAGCAAGGGCAAAAGCTGCAAGGCATCTTGGGACTAGTCTTGGAAATCACATACCACTGTCTATGACTCGAGCTTCGAGGAGCTGGGACAAATTTGTAGTTATATAGAGTTTGCCACGTTCACCATTGTTGATAATTTTGATGTCTCTTAATTGTCCTCCTTATAATGTGTGGCCAAATTCATTGGTTGCAAGTCAGTGCAATTTTATCCTTTGTTCATATTTTATTCTCTTAGAAAAGGCCTCTCACCTCTTAGAGCCTTCCCTAGCTCCTCACACCCCCTGTCGTGTGATCTGAGGCTCACTGACTGCTCCCAGGACTGTGTGAGTCACAGCTATAATCCTTGTTCCTTTTAGTGTCTCCATTCTTAAAGATCTGAAAACCGCTCCAAAGGCGTTCGTTCTTACACCACCTTTCTTCTCAGCCGAGTGTAAGATCTTCTCTTTAAAGGCTAACACCTGACAAATAAGTGTCTACGGTCGTTCTTTAAGGACAATTGCTGAGACACACTCTGTGTCTTCCCTTGTTAGCCAGCTTCGTTACCTTCACTTAAGACATTCTTTCTTTGATGGTTTCCTGCCTGATCATGAGTCACACAGCCCTTGCATTTTCCCTTTCTTCCTTTAGCCTTATTCTGTCTAAAGGGGAGAGCCTTTTCTGTTGTTAGGTCTGTGATAGTTGGCCTGTAATATGCCCACTTATATAACTGAAATTCCTTTTATATATTAATTTATCTTTAGAACTCCTGACTTGGTGCTCTGCGGCATCAGGCCGGATCTTTTGGAAGCTCATTGATACTCTGACAGAGTGTAGGCCAGGTAGATTTAGGTAACTTTACACATTCCTTCCACAGTTCTTTCTCTCAGCAGGATATTTTAACATGGGCATTATTAGTTCATTTTAATAAAAATTGACTATTTTCTCATGATGAAAGTCAGCCAGTTACATTGGAAGATTGTCTGTGATCTTTAGAAAGAACTGCTAAATAAATATTGGTGTTTCAGTCATTAAAAAAGAGATTTAAACTTTTAATTTGAGTATAGGCATTCTAGCTTAAAAAATACACTTGTAACTTACAAGCATGAGGTCCAGGATTCAATTCTTCAAACCAACAAGCAAACACGTTAAAAACAACCTAGGTGTTTGTGATTCACGCCTGTAATATCAGCACTCCAGAGGCACAGAATCAGGAGGTTTGCTGCAAATATAAGACCAGTCCATATTACATCATGAGACTCTATCTCAAAGTCAGAGAACTACTAAAATGGAAAACATGCTCACCCAAGAAAAAGAGGAAGTATCAGAGTTACTACCAGATCCTCTACGATTGGAGTGTGGATACCAAGGTAAGGGTTGTTCCTTGAACTTGGAGACCCATGTCTTCCTCTGAGTTATATTGGACAAATGTCAGATGCCTCCCATAGCTTGTCACTTCCTTCTTCGCTTACCAGGATCTTCTGCTGGCCATACTTAGCTCTGTAGTCTGTTACCTAGTCAAGCTTTTGCCACCTTCCTGGAACTCCCCAGTTTGGACAGCTTGAGGTAGCTGATGTTCTAGCCGGTGACTGTGTTCTGAGTGAGTTGAGAGTATGGGAAGCAGATAGCATAGATCTGTCCTGTTCAACCTGTCTCCATAGTTCAAAATCCAGGAGGCATTAAACACCTGGCTGGAGCTAAGAGGCTGTGGATGTCAAGTAGCCTGCCAGAGCTGACAAGTTCTCCATCTATATAGTGGTGACAAATGTGCTGGATAGGTGGCCCCAGAGTTTGTTAAACATCTGGTTAGTTTGTGTCAACTTGACACAAGATAGACTCATCTGGAAGGAAGCTCTGTTGAGAAAATGCCTCAGTCAGATTGTCTGTAGGGCATCTTTTGGATTAATGATTGATGTGACAGGGCCCAGCCCACTGTGGGCAGTGCCATCCCTAGTCAGGTGGTTCTGGGGGATATAAGAAAGCAGGCGGAGTAAGCCACAGGGAGCCAGCTAGCAAGCAGCCTTTGTCTGTGACCTCTCAGTTCCTTCCTCCAGGTTCCTGCCTTTGGTTCCTGCCCTGACTTCATGCTAGACTACAAACCGTAAGCTAAAATAAACCCTTTCCTCCCTGGAGTCGCTTTTGGTCAGTGTTTTATTGCAGTAATAGAAGGCAGGACAATGCACCAGCTGATCTTGGCCTCTCCCCATCGGGGAGCTGGGCAACAGCAGCCTGTACTACTTCTTGCTGGTGTCCTTCAGCTTCTCACCCCTTCAGCTCTTCTGACACTCCTACTCTGATGTCGGATGCTCTTGTTCTTTTTGGATAGTCTGGTTTCCATTATCCTGCCTCTTCTCCCTCACTGTGTCTCGGGGAAGGCAGCTTCTAATCTCCACCTTTCTCTACATCTTCCTGTTAGTTCTCCTCATTCTCGCTAAGGAGGCCATATGTCATGCAGATAATTACAGTAGATTGAGCAAGTTTCCCAAGGGCAAAAGTAATTGCCCACAAAATTGAGAGAAAATAGTATAGTGATAAATAGGACATGGAAAGCTTGTCAGTAAAGTAAATCTCTTTATGAATCCTTGGTGATTCTTTATTACATGAATGACCGCATCAGCTTATCTGAGATGAATTGCTGTATCAGTGGCCCGTGCAAACATTTTTAGTAATTAATAAAATCAAAGTCATAAGTCACCTCCTAATGTTCACATTTGCAGTCTGCTCTTTTCAATGTAGTTTCATTTTCTACAAGCCGAGTCAATCCATAGCACCATTAGAATTAAATGTGAACTCTGGTTTTAATTACTGTTTTATTTATTTATTTTGTTATCTATATGTATGGATGTTTTGCCTGCATGTATGTCCTGTACACCACATGTGTGCATGGTGCCCACAGAAGCCAGAAGAGGGTGTCTGATC